AGCTAGCAAGCTTTTTAAACTATCGTTTTGAATTTAAATTATTCAACTTTTTTTTTCTTTCTGAAAGAGAGAGAAATAGAATTTTCTCTTATCATCACTGGAAATACATATATTGGGTAAGCGTGCTTATGTATTCCACCTTCACCTCTTCCTCATGACCCTCAGACATCGTGAACTTCATAATTTCCTTTGGCAGGAAACTGTTGCATCTCTTTTAATGGCTTTCTTCTAAACAATTTTCGCAGCAGACGATTATTGAAAAGATGCCAGATCAATAAGATGTATTATCGTTTGAGCATTCGATTGTTTCGTGTTTTGTCTGAATAATTGTTCAGTCTATGTTAACCAGCAAAGTATTGCATTTATTTGCGTTTTCAATTATTAAGGGATTATGTAATTAGCATTAAAATAATTAAATTTACCCACTATTTATTAGTTTCTTCAAAATCGTGTCATTTAAAACCATGTGTTTGCTTGAGTTACCTTGTACCAAATTGTGGAAACCCGTCGTTGTTCAAAAATTTATTCTTATTAAGAAGAATTTGAATAAAGAAATTACATACGAAGATTTATTAAAGCTTTTTGTGTTATATATATCTCAGCTTTCTAGTATTATTGTATTCAGAACGTAGACATAACATGCAGCATACACAAAAGGAAAGTCGATGATCTTTAAGTGAAGTTCCACTGGGTGTAGGTATCATTTAAATCAGCGGTTCTTAACCTATGGGTCGCGACCCAAATTTGGGTCGCGAAGCATATTTCTTGGGTCGCGCTGAGTCGAACCAAAAAAGTTACTAATACATCAAATAATAAGTAATACCAACGCCTCCCAGAAGAAGCCATTGTGGCTTACTCAGCCTAATTTTGACTTTTTTTGGGGTCGCGACATGAACATATTTCTCAAATTTGGGTCGCGGGTTAAAAAGGTTAAGAACCACTGATTTAAATAAACGAAAAGTTCGATGATTGAAGAATTTATTTTTTGTTGAATCTACTGGATGAATTATGAATTGCCATTAGTTGAAGAAGAATTTGACTGCTTATTTACCTACTGTCCATTTGAATGAGTTATTTGAAGTTATTCCATATTTTTGATGTACCCTCTAATTTCAAATACGATATTACATATCTTTAATGTACTGTTCCCCCTTCCCGACCGTTCAATCCTGGCGACTTAATAACATCGTTGCCGAGTGGAAGGATTAAAACAGGTCTTAGACCGGGAAGGAGGGTACAAAATTTATTAATTATTGGACAGCGAGCAGCCATGAAAGTGTACACGAAAAGTTGCGCTCCTCGGTTATATATTAGGGAAAATCTTGCAAAGTAAAATCCGTAAATGTCTCTATTTAGGGAAAAGAGGAAAATATTAGAAATTACTATTGGTTTATGAAATAGGTCGAGTGATTCCCACGAAGATTAAAGGGGGAAATGTCCTGCTTTTAATTAATGCATAGTTGAGCCAAAAATAGATTTAAGGACAGGATGTGAATTTAAAAGTGTGAGAAAGCATTTCGATTAGAATAATGAAATAAAAGAAAAGGATTTAACATAAAAAGATTAATTTGAGCTTTTTATGTTACATATATATATAAAACGGTTAATGTGAGTAGTCAGTTATTATTAATAATAACCAAATAAACTGGTTAAAGTGAATAATTTAAACGAGTTTATCACATTAACCGGTTATTATTAATTACAGCTAATGAAGTTGACCAAATATTCGGCAAAGTATTGTTTGGAAAGAGTTTTCTTAGGGGGGGGGGTGATTTTAATAGATTTTCTAAAGAATAATCTAAAATCGTATTTTTTACTGTACGTTATTAGAAATGGTTTTAACACAATTGTAAAGTGCTAAAACTTTTTAATTTTTGTTCTGAAAGACACTTAAAAAAGCGAAATTTGAAGAATTGAAACTAGATATTTTATACTGAAGCATGAGTTTTTTTTTTCTTCTAATGCTGATTTTTTTTTTCTTTTTTTAATTAAATTCAGACAAGTTAATTCATCGTTTTTTAACACTTTTTATTTTATAAATTGAGAACTTTTTTTTGTTTTCTTTCTTTTTCTGTTTTAACTAAAGCCAAGGACCGATAGAGGGACTTAAATGATAAAACGAAGCATGCTAACGGAGCGTTTCAAATAGACGTTATTCTTCAATAGTCACTTGTACGGTAATACATATAACTACTGTCGGACCTCTATTTAACGAAGTCACTAAATCCCGATAGTAATTTTGTTATATGGAAAATTCGTTAAATAGAAAATTACCTTATAAAATACTTAAGCAACACAAAACAGGTTTTAAATTCATAAAAGTTAGACATTATTAAAATAGCAATGGATGCACTTTTATCTCGTAAACTAGTATCTACTATTTATTTTATAAATCTTAGCCATAAAAGAAATCTGCGAGGAAAGCAAGAATAGAGCAAAACATTATCCAGTGTTACACTATCATGTTACGTTACTTTTTCAACTAAAAAAAGGCTAAATTTATGTATAAAATTATAGTTGCATTTATTATAAGAGTAATTTTAAACATACATTACCAAATGCGTTCTTAAGTTTAATTGCTACGGATAAAATCCCTTCATTTGAACAGAGTTTTTCGTTTGAAATGCAAACAAAAAGGGAATTTACTACTTTCTCTAAGATAATTTTTAGAGAAAACAGTAATGCATTTCATGAAGCAGTAGTAGTAGATTCGTAAAAGAAAGTTCGTTAAATAGAAGTCCGACTATTTTTGAACACTGTGATTCTCAACGTTAAAGTTACATTTCATGACTAAGAAAAAAATATTCTCTTTTTATTTTTTGATAAAATTTTTAACAACGTTTTTACTATGACAGCATTGTTAAAATAGCGTTTCTAATGAACGTTGTTCTTTATTAGTCACTTTTTTTTTCTGAAAATACGGCAATGTGAAAAAGTTCAATTACATTTTATAGAATTAAATCTATCGTTTAAAAATTGAGAACGATTTTTGTTTTGGTATCTATCAAGATTTTCTTTTTCGAAAAACTTAACGTTTTTACAGATGTTTTTATTATGACGCGGTAATTAAGAGGATCTCTATTAGACTTTAACCATCACCTTTTTCTAGAAAATATGGCAATTGGAAAGGTGAAACGTTCAGCTTTAAAAATTTTTTTCAAGAATTAAGATCGATTTTTATGTTTTGCTTCTGTATATAATCTTTGTTTTTATGATAGCGCTGCATTTTTAAAAGCTTTTTTGATAGACTCTATCTTTTTTTCTGTTTTATGGATAAATTATTTTTCGGAAAATATTATCTTTAGTTCTGTTTTAAGAATTAAGAGGATTTTTTTTTTTTTTTTTACTATATCTTTTTTTTTTCTTCAACTTCAAACCTTTTTTTTTTTACTATGTATCTTTTTTTTTTTCTTCAACTTTATTTATTTCAAATAGTTGTTAGTCAGTTTTTATTTATCTTAAATATTTTTAAGTATCTTCATATCTAATTAATTTAAATTATCCTATGAATTTTAATTATCCTATGAATGTTTTTTTCCATTTACCACATACCAGAAATACAGCTAAATTTTGATTATTTTTCAACAATGACTAAACTTGTTTCTTTAGAAAAATAACATTTATTATGACTCTTTTTTTATTTTGATCGAATATTCGGTATTCAGCCGATTTTTGTTTTGACCGAATATTCGATATTCGGCTATATCACTATAGTTTTAACATTTGAATGTTGTTTTCATTGAAGCGGTTGTTGATGTTGGGTGTATTGCCAGATTTCACCAATGAAGATGGTTTTTTTACTATTTCTTTTCTTTTTTTCTTCAACTTTACAACTTTAGTGTTTTTTTAAATAGTTGTTAATCAGTTTTTATTTTTCTTAATTATCCTATACATTTTGTAGTGTGTCTACCACTACAAAAATACAATTCCTGTTCACTAGTATATAAGACGTTTTAACGCGATGGAGTACCTTTTGATGGATGAACGTTGGCATTGTCTATGTCTATGTGACTCTATCCACAATGGTGACCAGGACGTGATGTGAACATGCCTACCTTGCCAGAAACTCCCACTTCGATCTGAGTACGCCTATCTTCTCAGTAACTCCCACTTCGATCTGAACACGCTTACTTCAATGGATGGTTCACATTGAACAGTTGACTTGCTACTTGTGACTGCGACATTGCCCTCCTCACGCTGTTGCTTCTCAGTCTCGTTCGCACACAACGTACAATATATACACTAGACTGCTAAAGGCAATATAAGAGCGACCGTGACCTTAATGTAGCTCTCACAATCAGCACTCAAAAAGTAAGGTGATCTTAATACAGCTCTCCCGACTTCTCACAAAACAACAATGACTCAACTAGTGATATTCGTTCATCGAATTCTATCACAGATATAATTCTGGTGGGGGAGTACTGTAATGTTTCTGCTACTACAAAAATACAATTCCAGTTCACTAGTATAAGAGACATGTTAACGCGATTTTACAAAAAGTAAGGTGATCTTAATACAGCTCTCCCGACTTCTCACAAAACAACAATGACTCAACTAGTGATATTCGTTCATCGAATTCTATCACAGATATAATTCTGGTGGGGGAGTACTGTAATGTTTCTGCTACTACAAAAATACAATTCCAGTTCACTAGTATAAGAGACATGTTAACGCGATTTTATTAGGGGTACCTTTTCATAGATGAAGGTTGGCATTGTCAATGTGACTCTCCCACAATTTCTATGAAATTTTTTTCCCTTTACCACCTACCAGAAGTACAGCTAAATTTTGATTATTTTTCAATAATGACTAAATTTATAATAAAGAAATATTTATTACTAACTTCTTTTTTTTTTTTTTTTTTTTAAAAGTTACTTTTCGGCCGCCGAATATTCGGTATTCTGTCGATTTTTTTAAAATTACCGAATATTCGGTATTTTACCGAATATTCAGTATTCGGCCATATTACTATAGTTTTAACATTTGAATGTTGTTTTCAGTGAAGCGGTTGTTGATGTTGGGTGTATCTCCAGATTCCACCAATGAAGATGGTTTGACTGCCCTACATCAGGTACTTTCTTTTAGTTTTTTTGTTGTTGCTGTTAAAGACATTCCAAAATCTAAAGTTTCTCTTTCAATGTTATAGTGCTGTATTGATGACAGTGAAGAAATGCTGAGGCTTCTCCTCGAATTTGGTGCCAACGAGAATGCAAAAGATAGCGAGCAATGGACTCCTCTTCATGCTGCTGCTACTTGCGGACATTTGCATATTGTGAAATATCTAATAACCAAGTAAGATCCCGTGTGCAGTCTTCTAAGAGACTTTGATATGAATCTTTATGCACTAATAGTAAGAGTGTAATAAAGCGCGAATAATAAAGCGATTCAAAATAATGAAGCACTAGAAAAATGCATTTTAAGATTTAAGCCTACTTTATATGCTGATCAAATATTCACTTCAACAGTGGTCGGAGAAACTATATTTTCTTTGTAGTTAACTACAACTACTTTATTATAATTGTAGTTAACAACCACAACTTTTTTTTTTGTAAATGTAGCGACTACAAACTATTTTCGAAATGTAGTCACTCACTACTTCTCTACTTTTACAAAGCAAACGTAACTGGAGAACTTAATTTTCACCAGTATTCAAAATGATTTTGAATGAAAAAATTGGCTTGGTTAAATATGAGGAGATATTAAGAAGTTTTAATACATATTTACGTGAAATAGTTCTTTATTCTATAGCACTTTTTACGAATTTGTTCTTTAAACTTTCAAACTCCATGCTTTTCATGACAGTGATTTAAGAAACGCTTGGAAATTATCTAATAACTAATATTTGTGATTTAAGTGATCAATGCTTTTTTATATATTCCAAGAAATCTAGGACTCTTATCTTAATGGTTTATACAGATGGTTTATACAGATGGTTTATACAGACGGTATTTTAAGTAAGGATATCAGACACAAAAACGAACTTTATAGTTCCTGTGAAATCGAATTTTAAAAAAGTCAAATATTTAAAATTCGATTTCTCAGGATCAATTCGACCGATTTCAGGGCCATTATTTTTCCAAAGTCATCTAAGACAGGGGTGTCAAACTCAAAAGCTAACTTGGGCCAAATCAACAATGCTTAACTTTAGGTGGGCCGCAAGGAAAAGAAAATCAATGTTCATAGAAACAAATATTTTTATTTTGAATAGCACATTGTAATAAGCATATATAAAGTTAAATTATTGTTTGATACTTCACATCTCTTCTCTGCTACTATCTTTCCTATTTCGGGAGAAAATTTTTTTACTTTCAAAATTTACCCAACATGAGCGTTATAAATACGGTTTCGGACAGGAAATTTATTTCCATTCATAACAGAAAATTATTGCTTGCACTGATAAGTACTTCCAAACATGGAAATAATTTCATATGCGAATTTTCGAGTATTTTCAAACCTTGCCGGTAAATATTTGTAAAATTCAGGCATAACCACTTCAATGAATTTTACCTTCGAATTTGAGTCTCACTGAATCTCAATCACTTCCATTTGCATAATACTGGAGTCTATATTTATTGAGAAAATCGACGAAAACAAACAAAATTTGTTTTCCGAGGAATTGAAATCTTTAAACCTTGTTTCAAATTCCGTTCTAAGATTCGAAATTTTTTTCTGCGTATTTTTGATATGATGCAGTATCCCTGGAATGGCAGGTGCCGCAAGCCAATTAGAATTTTACATTTTCGCGCGTACAATTTAAAATGATCCGTATAGTTTATAAATAAAGTATATTATAATTTCATATGCTAGTTTCCTTTCTAATTCACATTTCTAATTTATTTTTACTTTGCGTCGGACTGGGCCACAAAAATTTTGCGAGTTTGACTCCCCTGATCTAAGATAATAAAACAAACACACGCAAGTTTATATACTAACACAGTGATTCTCAACCTTTTTTTTGGTGCGGCACACTTTTAACGATTTCGAAATTTGACGGCACACAATGAAAAAAATTAGATTAAAAGTTGTTTAATTACCTATTTTACACTGTGTTAAATAGTTTGTGATAATAAGTAATATGTACTACAAAAGCACATTTATTAAGGGATTAATTATTTCTTTCGACCAATTTTTTATTAGTTAGTAACAGTTATTTTTTTGCTAGTTATTAATTGTTAGCCTTTTTTCTATAGTTATAAGCAGTTACTTTTTTTTAACATTAACTGTTATTTTTTAATGATTTCTTGTTAACTAGTTATTTTGCTAATTATTATTAGTTAGCTTAATTTTTGTTAGTTATCCTTCGTTAAATTGTTTTTTATATATTTGTTTTGTTAGTTATCCTTTGTTAATTTGTTTATTAATTGCATAGCTTACTTTAATGATTAGCTCCTAAAACCTTTTTTTAAAATTGTGTGTCATATACAATTTAAACGCTTCCATGTTATTTTAAGATTGTCAGAGACAAGACAATCGCCGACTAAGATGTTCACGCGTTCAAAGCGTGGAAAAATTACAAAAAGTATATATATATATATATAATTTTTATTGTAACATTTCTAATATTTGGCGGCACANTTATATTATAATTGATAGTTTCCTTTCTAATTCACATTTCTAATTTATTTTTACTTTGCGTCGGACTGGGCCACAAAAACGTTCTTCTCGGGCCGCGAGTTTGACACCCCTGATCTAAGATAATAAAACAAACACACGCAAGTTTATATACTAACACATTTTGTAGGCTCAAAGCTTTCTGAGGGATCGGCAAACAAAAAATGTTGTTTTAGATCACCATAAGCCAAAAAATTTAGCTATAAATTTTTAATTTTTTACAATTCTTTTTGTTATTATATCAGTAAACGCACAAAATTTCTTAAACCTAGATTAAATATTTACAAAAATATGGATATTTTTATATTAAAAAAATATCTCGCTTTTTTTTGCTATAACTTTAAAAATATTCGACAAAATTTTTGGAAAAATTTGAAATTAATTACATTGTTGAAAACTGTGTAACATGTAGGTAATTTAAGTAGTATTTTTATTCTGTGCTTGTGCAGAAAAAATGCAGCATTTTTTTAAATAATTTTATAATAAATCGTTTTGGCAACTAATGAAAAAAGTCTAATTTGAATATCTAAAAATAGCTTTTTTTACATATCTGTCTTTCATATGAAGTTTGATCATTATTTGATTGTACTATACTCTCACGACAGATTGTATACCAACTGAAATTTTGCATTAGTTTATAAATGGTTGAATTTTTTTCCTTCACTGCAGCACTGTGCCCCCCCCCCACATGTAACAATATTTTAATCTTTGTTTAATTGTGTATCCGGGGTTATATATATACTTTAATTGCGAGACAAGTATTATTAGTTTCTTTCCACTGTCTCTTACTTAATTAAAAATAAGGTAATGATTAAAATAATTGAATTGAATTCTTATTAAAGAGGAGCTGATTTATTGGCTGTGAATGCTGATGGAAATATGCCATATGACATCTGTGATGATGATTCAACCTTAGACTACATTGAAAATGAAATGGCCAAGAAAGGTAAGAAGAACAAAATTATATTGCCAAATATTTCTCTTGTCTCAATATTTTGTTAGTAATATCAATAAATATAATTTGAACCATGGTGGCTGAGGGAATAGAGCATTCACCTTCTAATGAGGTGAACCGGTTTCGAATCCCAGAGATGGCTGGTCGATACGAATCCGCATTCGGCTTGAACTGACCACTGTGCTGACGTAAAGTATCCTCAGTGGTAGACAGATCTTGGGTTAGAGTCCCCTTGCCTTCAGGCTAACCCTGGAAGGTTATCATGGTTTTCCTCTCCATGTAACGCAAATGCAGATTAAAGTTCTCCACAAAGGCAATTTTCACCCAATACTTGATCCAGGAGTTCACTTGTCTTCTGGATCGAGTTCAAAATTACAGGATTACGGAGTTTAACATTAGTGGCTGTAAAACCAAAATTGAGTCAGCTGTTCAAGGACAGTTATAAAATAATTTGATAAGAAAATAACTGAATTTGTGTTTGAGCATTATTTTCAATTTACAGATTTATTTGTGTTACAATTGTAATAGTAAATATTGCTTGATTAAAAAGAAAAGCTTTGTTGTAATTATTTTAATTTTCATTTATGAGTGCATTAAACTATATTTTCTTTATATGTAAACTTGTTTGTATGAGTAATAATGATACTGCCATTTGACCTTAAGAAAATCTGAATACTCCGAAATTTTATTTATAAGTTGTGTTATAATTATTTTATTATATTTTTATAATTTTATTATATGATTTTATTATAATTTTTTCATTAATTACTTTGTTAATAATTAGCATACACTTATTAAAAGTTCTAGCATTTAAGTAATAAAGTTTTTTCAATAATAATTTATTTTTTATGCTATTTTTTTCTGAAATTCTTTTTAGTCTTTATTTTTTTTATCTGCATGAAATAGTTTGCTTAATTGGAATTTGTTTCGAGTATGTCAGAAACTGTAGGACGTAAAAATATGAATAAAAGTATCAAAATTCCAATTAACTTCTAAATACAATTCTTTTAAAATACTTCTGGGTGCCAAATGCACTGAAAATAATATAAAAAATTCGAAAATGTACTAAAACTTGTCTTAATACTCATGTTTAGTTAATAAAAGTTGCTCAAACTCATTTATTACTTAGCCGTAATTGACTAACACATTAGTTATCTTAACTCTCCATCCATTGACTAACACATTAGTGCATTCAAAATGTATTTTTATATAAAGATTGTAACTTAATATGGAAAAATCTAATCATAAGATAAAAAAATTTTAATATTTTTCTGTGTACTATAATCTTACTTCAAAATATATTCCATTTTTTCTAAATGCATATTTTATGACAATATGTTTAGCTGAATCACATACATTTTTTGTTGCCATGGGTTATTGAATCTTAATTTTGTACACATAAATAATACAGATTCCATTTCACAATACTTTATTTTTTATCCATAGTTTTTGCTTCAATTATTTTTAATGAACTTTTACTTAGCTCATTTTATTTTGTGTTTAATAAGTTGCTTAGAATAAATATTCTCTGCTCATTGAAAAAAAATATCAGCCCATTTGTGATATATATATATATATATTATAATTAGCCTTTAATATTTGTTCTTATAGTAAAAGGTATAGACTAACTGAGCAATGAGCAGTATATTTTTTAATTAGCCTAAAGGCATCATTACAATAAACCTAAATATTATTAATTGATTAGAAAATATTGGATATTTTCCGATTAGCCAGATGCATGTAAATAATTTGGTTATGAAATCTGTATTTTTTAATCTAGGTATAACGCAAGAAATGATTGATCAAACACGAGCGGCAACCGAGAACCGCATGTTGGAAGACCTTAAATATTTAGTTTCTCAAGAGGAATCTCTAAATGCGAAGGACAAGAATGGTGCAAGTTTTGTGAGTGTGAACTTTAAATTATTAACTGCTCTGTTTACAAAATTTGTCCACTTTTGTTAGTTCTAGATTTGAACTGTTCTGAAAAACTGATGTAATTAACAAATTTTTGGCCAAATCTATAACCAATGTAATTACTTAGTTTTGGCCAAAGGTGCATAAATGCTCTATTTCAATTATTATTTTTTATTAACATTGTGACATATATTTTTTCTAATTTTATTTTTCTGTTATTTTTGAGAATTCTGAAAACATTAATAAATTATTAGCCCCGTGGCAGAATCACGGCGACATTGCCGCAGAATGTTACGGAGTTCTTGCAGAAATATTTTTCTTTTGAACAGTAAAAAAAAATTCTTTTCTTTTCTACAAAAATTTACATGTGATATTTGAATCTTGCATTTAGATTAATGTTTCGATTGTATTTTCGGCAGTTATTGATTTTGATTTTCAAGTGGATTTTAAATATCCCAATATATTTTAAACAATATGCAAAGTTCGAATCATGCATTTGAGTATTTACTTTTTAAGGCAATAATTATATCAAATTTTTGGCAGTTATTGCTATTGATTTCTCCGTAGATTTTAAATCCGATATTTTTTGTACGACATTATTTATTACTACAACCAAATCTCGAAATGAAACTCTTATCTGATTCGCGTGATTTTTTCAGCAATTACTACTATGCATTTCATGATTTTTATTTATTTTTTTATTGTGATGAGCATTTACAAAATGCAAAGTAGGAAATAATTTGTGTCCACCCCACCCCTACAAAANCAAAAATTTACATGTGATATTTGAATCTTGCATTTAGATTAATGTTTCGATTGTATTTTCGGCAGTTATTGATTTTGATTTTCAAGTGGATTTTAAATATCCCAATATATTTTAAACAATATGCAAAGTTCGAATCATGCATTTGAGTATTTACTTTTTAAGGCTATAATTCTATAAAATTTTTGGCAGTTATTGCTATTGATTTATCCGTAGTTTTTAAATCCGATATTTTTTGTACGATATTATTTATTATTATAACCAAATCTCGAAACGAAACTCTTATCTGATTCGCGTGATTTTTTCAGCAATTACTACTATGGATTTCATGATTTTTATTTATTTTTTTATTGTGATGAGCATTTACAAAATGCAAGGAAGGAAATAATTTGTGCCCCCCCCCATCAAAATGTGATAATATCTTCCATAATATTAGAATTAAAAATTATTACATGTTCAATTTTAAAAAAAATTATAAATTTTTTTTTTGTAAACAGCATTTTTGTTATTTTAAATTAGTAACATATATGTTTGTTATTATTAGAAGTATCTTGCAGGAAGATATTAGTGCTTGAGAGTTTTGTTGCAGATAGCTCGAAAAAATTCTGCCACATAAATTATTAGTAATTCAATTGTTGTAAAAATTTTCTGTTAAAACATTTTCAAAATATGTTAGTTTCTTTAACTTGAAATGGTTATTGACTTTATCAAAATGTGTAATTCTTCCACTTGAGATAAATCGTGTGTTTTTATGAGGGATTAAAGTTGCAAGTTCTATAAATGGAATAAAAATAAAACAAATTTCTTTAAAAAAATTAATGTTTTAACTAAATGATTTATTCATTGATTTGGCTAATGGTACGGTAAATGGTAGTAACCGTTTTACTTACTCAATTATTTCATGAACGAAACTTTTTTTGTGCCTTAATGAATGTGATTTAAACACGAAGAAAATAATACAACATTTATTAAAATGTCTATGCTTTGCCTAAATCTGGTTAGCATAAGCAAATTTCTGAAAATATTTATGTTTTGCAAATAAAGTTTCATCATAAATTTATTTTACAACTCTTTTCTGGCTCTTCAAGTAATCACAGAAGTTATGAGAGACCTAAAAATCCTCTTTCTTTCCGCCAGACTCATCAACTTACGTTTACTATGACATATCATTTACGATAACATTCTTCTTTGCAAAATTAAAGTTATTAAAAACGTTTATTATTGTATTTTATTAGATCGGTTTGTGCCCATTTTTCACAAGTTTAACAATTCAATTACATGGGTAGGCAATTCTCTGCTAGAGTTATAACAGTGAAAACAGGCTGTACTATAGAAAAATGGTTCTTGTCAGCATTCATATTTGTTTTTTCTCAGAATCAGCTTAACTCCCTTAATTTTCAAGTATTCAAATGTTTTAGCAGTGCTATCTAATATCAACAGATTATTTTGAAAAGTAAAATATTTTAGAAGTGCTAAATATTAACAGACATTTTTGAAAAATTTATTTTTTTAAGTAAAGTTAATTTCTCCAAGATTTATTTCCTCTAGTTAGATGTAAATTGTTTAGAATTAATTAGTTTTAAATATATTTAAATGCTTTAAAAATTCTGTGAAAAATATAAATTACTGAAAGCAGATATAACAATTCAATAACATAGATAATCAATTTTCTCCAAGAGTTATAACAGTGAAATTAGGCTGTGCTGTAGAAAAATGGCTCCTGTCTGCATTGATATTCGTTTTTTCTCTGAATCAGCTTTTGTGAAATTAAATCATTCCCTCGCTTGATTTTCAAGTATTAAAATATTTTAGCAGTGCTATCTATCATCAACAGTTAATTTTTCAAAATAATTTTTTTTTAAAGTAAAGTTCAATTTTTTCTAAGATTTATTTCCTTTTGAAGTAATTTGTTTGGTATTTATTAGTTTTAAATATATTTTAATTCTTATAAAAATTATGAGGAAAATATAAATTACTGAGTATATATGACTGAAATGTAAATTACTGCACATATTAATTCATTTTAAAAAAAAACTATCATCTAAATATAAATGCAATTTTAGAATAATTTAACTTGAAAAATATAGGAAATAAAATTAAAAAAATAATAAAAATATTTAAAATAATTTTACTGAGAAAAAAATTTCTACAGGAAAGAGTAAAATTTTGAGTGTGCTTTGCTTACTATGTGATCACTGCAGAATAATCTTATTATAGAATTCTTCTCTTATAACATCTGCATTCTGTATGATTTCTGACAGCATTTGTAATTGCTTTTTACTAGCTGCATATTGCTGCTGCCAATGGTTATCTATCTGCTATGGAGTTTCTTCTTGAAAACCATGCAACCATAGATATATGTGATGATGATCAGTGGCAACCCATACATGCAGCTGCCTGCTGGGGACATGTAAGTATAAGTTTATTGAACAAGTACATATTGAAAAAAAAAAATACATTTTTTTGTTGTTAAAGCTTATGTTACCAAACTATTAACAGATGTCTGTGCAATTATGCAAATTTCAAACAATGTTTTAGTCCAAAATTTTTTTTTGCAAATTAATTTTTTTCCTTCTTGTATTTTGAAGGGAAATGGGTTCATAGGACATTTATATGCAGTGATGATTTCTTAAATTACAGATAGAAAAATTGATAGAAAGACAAATATCTTTCTATGTTGATTCAATTCAATTTTTTCTGGAAAAAAAAAACAACTTAAAATTATTCCAAATGCTTTTGAATGGTTTAAATTCTATCATTATTAATATCTTCATTAAAAATTTACGTTTCCATTATTACATGCCATGATAATATTTATAAATCTATTTCATGTAAGATATATTATTTTACTAAATATATATATATATTTTTAAGCCTGATGCTATTGAAATGCTTGTGCAAGCTGGAGCTGATATTAATGCTAAAACAAAGAATGGAGAAACACCATATGGTAAATAATTCACCACCAACAATATTTTATAGAATTTTGTCTTACATTGAGTGCTTTGTGACTTTTTTTTTCTTCTGTATTTTTCTAAATTCATTATAGTCTTACAACATTGTACTTTCTTATTGGAAGAATAGTGTCACATAATATATTTATGAGTATAATTAAGATGAGATTATTTTTCATTGTTCCTTTGATTTAGGACTTATTTCGCTGTGATATTTTTTTAAGTAATATTTTTTTTCCTATTGCTAGTATATTTATGCATGAAATATATTTCATTTTGTTCAAACAAGTATGAAAATATAATAAACATTAACTAAGTGTTATTTGAAACTGATAGATTAGTTTAATTATTTTAATTAAAATATGTGATCATTACCTTATTTTTAAAAAGATAAAAAGCAGTTGAAAAATAAAGTTAAACAGCATACTTGTCTTGTAATTAAAAAACACATGAAAAATCAACACACACATATATATATATATATAAAACCTACAATAATGGAAGAGACACTTTCAGTTTTGTTTTGGACATTTTTTTAACTTTCTCAAAATACTTAGAAGTTTATGTAATTACTTCATTACTTCAGAAGTGTTTAGTTCTTAAGATTTTTCATATTTAGCACGAAAGAAAACGAGTATTTTTAAACACCCTATACCATAAATATGCTTGCAACTTGTATTGATTACCTTGGTTGTTATTTCCAATCACTGCCTGAAATTTCGTATACCTAGCTTAAATACTAATGTAGATTTCGACTCTTTTATGAGAAAAACTAATTTCTTTGTTTTATATTTTCTGACTATCATTGCTGAAATATTCAATAGAATTAAGCAAAACTTTTTGAGTAATTTTTAATTATTAACAAATCATTTTAAAATTGGAAAGAAAAAAAAATCAAACTGTGCATGCGCAAAAAAAAGAAAGAAAAAAAAAACATTTTCGAAAGGTTTTTCTACATTTTGTTCTGAATCTCATTTGAATCACATTGGGTCTAGAATATAGAAGTCCCCAAAAAAACAGGCGGTCCAAAAATTTTTAAACATTATGTGCATGGAAACATTATTTTGTTCTAATTTAGGGTTATAAAATAGCTAAATTGAAGCTATATTTTTGAACATCTATGAAGAAAAAAATATTTTATGGGTTTGCTTGATTAATTGCGTATCAAAACAAAATGTAATACTATTTTTAACATATGTAAATTAGAAGTTAGAGAAAGTATAAAATACAATGGAGAAAGGAAAAAGTCCATTAACAAGCCAAAAACACTTTGAACTAAGAACTATGTTTTTATAACAGAATAGAGTGCACCGCTCCTTATTGGCTATTGCTTGCCAACCCCCAAAACTGCTTTGCGATTTGAGGTAGTTTCGCTTGGACTTCGTTAATACTTTATCTTTTATTCTTACAGGGTGCTTAGTATTTTTAAAAAGTGTTTAAAGGTGCTTATTATTAATTTTCCATTTTTAAAAGTCCAATTTTTTTTTTCATTGGGTATTTGTAAAGAGAGCTTAAATTTCTCTTTTCCATAAAAACATTTTGTTTCTAATCATATTGATTGCTGTCATGAATTATGCAAAGAGATGGATTTTCACAATGTTCCATTCACTTTCTTTCAATCGCAATGCGTATGGATGATGCTTACCGGCATCATTCATATTAATCGAGGGACTTTTCTTTATTTTAACATTTATGAAATACGTATAGAAATCTTACATGATTCAGATTTGTTATTTTGAAATAATATGATTTTTTTCCTTTATCATTTAATTTTAAGTAATAATTGAAATTAAAAATTCAGTTTTCTCAGATTTGTTAAATATTGGGAATATACGGACCATGTAATAATTTAATATAATAATGTAAACAAAGAAAATATCTTTTTGTGCCTGATTTCCTAACTTAAAATACACTCTGCTTAATTTAATTAGCTTTTATTTTAAAATAGACTTTTGAAATTAGGGATGGCACAAAGCACAGTTTAGCTCTGAATACCTCTACTCATATTGAATTTTAGCATTGAATGTGCAATAAATATGTACAATATCATATTATACTTCATATGTTTTAATATTCTTAGTTTCATACAACATTTTCAGCTTACTATGTATAATCAAATGTAGTGAGGTTAATTAATCTTGTATATTATAAGATAATAAACATAGAAAACATTTTAACAATAAGTAACCTAGAAGGACTATGTCTGACTTTAATTATTTGCAATAAATATTATGACTTAAATTTTCCAGAATAAATATTATGACTTTAATTATCTGGAATAAATATTTATAGTTTAGTTCTTAGGTAGATGTACAAGCATCCTCCTCATAATATGGTTTTTAAAAGAAAGAAATAATAAATATTTAGCTTTTATTTATTTTTTGAAATTTCTTTGCATGTTTTACAATTTCAGGTCACTGTTGATGATCTTGATCAATGACAATTGGTTAAATTTTGTTGACAGATTAAGATATCTAAGAAAAAGACTTAATTATTTATACCTATAATTATTANTAGCTTTTATTTATTTTTTGAAATTTCTTTGCATGTTTTACAATTTCAGGTCACTGTTGATGATCTTGATCAATGACAATTGGTTAAATTTTGTTGAAAAGGACTTAATTATTTAAGATTATACTTAATTAAGATAAGGTTAAGATATTAATTAAGATTAATCTTAATTAATTAAGATATATTACTTAAGAAAAGGACTTAATTATTTATACCTATAATTATTAAATAAAATATAACTTTAAATGAAATACTGTAAGTTGACCAATTTTCGGCACATCTGCCCTAATAAATGAAAATAACATTATTTTTTTTCCTATTAAGTTTTAAAGCTAGAAATGTTTAAAGAGCAATTCATGCAATATTTTAATAACTTTATTTCAAAACAATCAAAATTATTCATGTAACTAAATACAATGTAATGTAACTTATTTATTTATTTGCTCTTTTCAAAGAAGTGGAATTTATTATGAATTGTTGTATGATTCTTAGTTCTAAGAGTTCGATACAAATGCACAAAAACTTTTTAGTTAAATGCCATACATTTCTATTATATTTTATTATAAGGTACAATTGTGCATAACTTAAAAGCAAAAGTTTTATATAATAATAATTGTAAAAAGGATGTTCTGAAAATAAATTGTTATAGGGAGAATCACTGCTCATAGGTGTGTACAGGATTTTTGCATGAGAGGGGAGGGGACACTATACTAAACATTTAAAGTAAAGTGCACAAAATTCAACAGCGAATGATCGATCTTTTCGAGGGTTGATGAGTAAAAGTGACCAGGGGGCATAGACGAATATAATTGGTATAAAGTTTAAAATATATTTAAGTATACAATCTATGGTTCTAAGCAAGGCCAAGGTGAACAATCGAATCTAATTCAAATCTTGAAGCTATATCTGAAATCAGCAGAACTGAGTAAACTGTTCCAGAGGTTGGCAAGCGACACGACGCAGATCACCCACTTTCTACATTGTTTTAAGGTCAAGTACCACTGTCCGGTATTCTGAACACTACTGTTTCCCTAATCGCATATTAAAATATTGAATATGTATTAAAATATCAACCAATGTATTAATATCGAATCGGACATCCTACAAAAAGACAGTGATTGCTAGCGTTCACCAGTAAAAGATATAAAAATAAAAGCCCATGTAAAGATTTATGAGGAAATGCAGCTAATCTCTGCAAGTGTACAAAAAAACAACCCAAGCAAACATTTAACGCAAACTTTTCTGTTTATTTCAAAAATAAATTGTTTTAATCTTATAAATATTTCAGCGATAAATTTGTTTTGTTAATGCATTTTTTTTCATTGCAGATTTAAAAATTCTTCTCAAACTGATATTATTTTATGAACTTTTACGTTAAAAAATTTTTTTTCATTATTTTATCTTCATCTTGATTGTTTAAAGTACAAGTTTATGCAAATTTTTCATGTTAAGTAATATTGCTTGGATTGAAATGAATTGTTATTTATGTAAATTGTTGTTAACGTACATTTGTTAGCAAAAATTTGTATCTTTCCAACATGTAATTAATTATACATGAAAGAGAATTAAGGTATTAGGTATTTCATACCTGCTATAAATTCATATGAAATAAAATAAAGAGGTAAAGAAATACTTGAAATTGTTATAATCATTTTTAAAAGCATACTTAATTGAGTTTTGAAATGAGTGAAATTGAATTAGTAATTTCAGTCATTGTTTTGAAATTTTTTAAAGTGATGTGATGATACGTTCTTTAACTGTATGAAACTTTATCAATACCATTTTTTGGCAAGCAACAAAAGTATTACTTTTAAAGTTTTTAATTATCTTAACTAAATTTCATTATAACAAGGTAAATATAATAGTAATCCAAAAGCCCAGACATGAAAAAGTTTCTCAGAATAACCAATACAATTGCCTCTAAAACAAATATTTTTAATTAAAAGAAATATTTTTACCTGTCAAATAATAGTTTGATTTTAAGCTACTTATTTATTCAACAATACTTAGAATAATGATACATTATCAGTTATTTATTAATAAAACTTAATTTATGCTTAATTTTGTCGAAAAAAAATGAATTTGTTTAAAGCTATTGCAGATAAATTGCAAAACAGATGATAATGACTAACACAGAGGAAAATTCTAAACAGAATGACCAGACCAAAAAAAAAAAAAATGTCAACACAGTTTTTATGTCTCTTTTAAGGTTAATATATCCATAATCCTAGAAATGAGATTACTTTGTTTGAGGCATAACTATAAATAGGAAAAAAATTGGTTATGTGGAGAGCTAATATTTTTAAATCTTATAGCGAGACAAAAAAAGTTGCAGGCAATAGGTAAAATAGAGGCAATTAAAGAAAGCTAAGAACATTTTCAAATGAATAAAATGTGGCAGGGGTGGAAAAAGCGTGAAAATCAAGGCAGAGAGGATTTTGTTTTATTACTTTTTTTAGTGAAGGTTAACAGAAAGGCAGTGGCAATAATTTTATTTTTGTTAAAAAATAGAAAGAGACTCAAATTGAAATGTAAAAAGAAATCTTAGTTTTTATTTTGCGCCTAATAAAATATTTAAAAAATTGTTGAGTTGAGCAAAACAATGAATTGCTTGGGGGAAAAAATCATCAGTAGTAAACAAAAAAAGCATGAAATTACCATGTGTTTTAATTCCCTGAATCCCTCTTTTTACCTCCATCTTGTTGCAGTCTAAAAAATATGGTCCCATCGTCTTCTCAGGACTTGCTTAGATCATTTTCTAATTTATTGAAAAAGTTTATTTTCTTAAGAATGCTTTGTAAAATTTACATTGCTAAAAAGTACTCAAGATTATTTCTGATTCTTTTCCGACAAGTGCAAGTTTTTAATCAGGGTATTGAAAAAAAATTTTCAATGATTTCAGCTAAAACACTTAGATCAAAATAAATAAACAATTTTTAAAAAAAATTGCTTCTAATTTCCATTGTATAAAAAAACGATTGGAAGTTTTCGTAATTTGTTTTTTTTATAGAGTTTTAAATTTTTTTAATGGTTGAAAACAGAAGTTCTACTGGTGGTGGGGGGGGGGCAGCCTATGTCATAGCTCATTAATCAGCTAGGCCAGAGCTTTGGCAAGTATGCTGAAGATTTCGACTTTCCAAAGCCTCCTTCTCTAAAAGCATCTCTATCTAAAATTTATGAAGTGTAATTACTAGATCGCAATTTACTATGGTGTTCTGTTTTTCCTTTTCTATGTGCTTAGCACACTGTTAAGTTAATTAAAGTGTGTTCTTGGCTAACTTTTGCCTTTTTTAAATCCATATTTTTTTTTTTCATTTTTAGAAATTTCAGAAGACATCGAAGTAAGGGACAGGATAAATCAACTGAAATATGAAATGGAGACAAAGAGAGGATCACAAAGTAACAAGTTAAGGAGAACTCACAGCCAAAATACTCGCAGGTACATACTTCTGCATCTTCATCACCTGATTCTCATTTATGACTCAATATAACAATTTTAGTTAACTTCTATTTAAATGTTCTTTTTTTCCCTTCCAGTCAATCCATTCGAAGAACGAGCATAAGGGACAAAGTCCAAATTTCTCGGAGGGAAGCAAGAGAAGAAGCAATGTTACGACAGGAGAAAGAAGGAATTGTTCAAATTATAGATGTAAGTACATCCAGGGTTGCCACAGACGACTAATATGCGACCTGAGGTGACTGGGGCAACTTGTTTTGCCTGAAAAAGCAACTATTTTCAGGAAAAGGATATTATTAGAAGACTTTTCTGTTCTCCTTTCTGTTTTTTTCTTTTTTTCTAAGCGTGAAGTGGATTGTGCAACTTTTGGCCCACAAGAGCTTCTGAATAAAAGAAAACAAATTCTTGTACTATTATTTATGTCTAAAATGCCAAAAAATCTAATTTTCCATTATATTTAATTAAGTGTATTTTATTTTTTTCTCTAATATATAATTTTGTTATTTTTATAAATTGTTTTTTCCTTCTATCAACATTAATGTTAGTTTTTTACTGTTTTCAACTTTGATCTAGTTACACATTTTCTGTTGTGTAAATTTTTTTTAATTGCATAAAACTTTTTATTAAATGAATCATGGTATAACTAAGCCAGGATAATTAATTAATTCAATAAAGTATTGGTCATATTTTTTGTAAATTTTTGTACTTAGGCAACTATTTCCATGCTTTTGGCTACTAAAAGCAACTATTTTTTTCCTGTGGCAACCCTGTATCTGTAATGCCCATGTGGATTGGCATTACATTTTGCCCTACTGTACAACATTATTGACACATTATTCACATATTTTTAGGATGATCTCATAAAATGTTCTATGGAAGCTCTAGACAAAAATTCTCTGGTGGATTCTGATCTCGATCCGACAGACATCGACATCACCTTCCTCCCGCTGGACGGAAAAGATACGCTGCAGCGTTTCAGGGGCAAATCTGCATCCGAAGCTCTAGAACAAGGGGAACCTGTTAAACGTCCCATCCCAGGCGACGCTACGAATGACAAAACAGAGACTTGTGAAATGGTCGGAAAAGAACGACCTCCCAATAATAGGTCTGATTTGTATACCGAAAAGTTGTCTCCGACTCAAACTATGGTTGTGCAACAGAAGCCAGGACAGTCTGTGAATGTCGAGATTCATGTCACTGTAAATACCAGTCCTACCTACGGGTCTGGACTTGCAGACTTGAAAAAGCAGAGAAATGACCAAAGAAGTAACTCTTTAGACAATAATGGAAAGTCTTTGTTACAAAATGGCCATTTCGCCATCACCTCGTACGACCAACCGCCATCTCCGAGTGTCCTTCCTCAAAAGTTCCGTGGAGATCCGCTGGAAGTAGTTGGTGAAAAACGGAAGAAAAAAGGCTGTTGCCATTTGATGTAAAGTACTGAAATATTTTATTATTGTTGTAATTAAAAAAAATCATGCATTCCATTTTGTATGTTTGGATCCTGATGGTACAATTTAAATTGCTTTAGTATTAAGAACTATGTATTTGTAAATGTTTTCGACCCAAACTATGTACTTTCACTTACCTTTTTTTAAATATTTTTATAATGAAAGGAATATTTTTCACTTGAAGATCATGTTTTTCTTATTATCTTTTTAAATATCTAATTTGAATACAATAAAAAATACCTTATAACACGAAAAATAAATTTTTTTTAACTTCCAGAGCAAGATTGGTATTTTGTCCAAAAGAAATATATATTCTCCAGTACATTAAACGAAACTGTAGAATAAACTGAAATTGATCCTTGCACTTGTTTAACAATAAATATTATAAGAATAACTTAAATTGAAAAAAATTAAACTTCAAATGCACCAGAACGTTAGCTTTTCACATCATCTAATTATTTACGATTTATTTATTTCAGTTTTATTCAGAATTTAAAATCTATATAACATATTTAAGAAACGATTCGATTATTAAAACTAATAATAAGAATTCTATGTGTGATTTTTAGTGTATGTTAGTATGTGATTGGTTAAATTTAGTAGTATTAATAAAATTTGATTGTGATATTTTAACAGCTCTTTATGCAATTATAAAATAAGATTTTAATATGCCTGTTTCTGTAAAATATTGAAGGGCTGCAGTTATTTTAATTTCTTAAGGAATTCATTAAATTTATTTTTCTTTCCAGTTGTTACTTTTTAGTTTTCACTCATTTAAATGTGATATATTAAATTGCTTGAAAATCAAAATTATTATTTAAACCAGTCTGAAGAATAAATTTTTTTTTAAAATTTATTTCTTTCATTTTTACTATTTTGGGTTGTAAGAAATTTACTTCTTCCTAGGTGGTTTTTACCATTATGGAAGAAATTTGCCATTCCTGTTCTGGGGAAATATTTTACATGAATAATTTAAAAATGTAATTTATATTTAAAAGAAATATTTACTTAAATACTCCTTTTTTCTATAAGTTTTTTACTTCATTAAATATAGCAAAATAGATAAATAATATTTTTCAAAAATTTATGAAAAACATATAAGATATTGTTTTATAAACAAAACAACTAAAATAAACCTTATTCTCTTAATTACTAATTTTCTGCATTGTTTTTTTTTCTGATTATGCATATTAAACTGTTTTTTAGGGAAAAGAGAAGCAACATAATTCAAATACTGTTTGTAATTTAAATGTAATTTAACAATATTTTTTATGGGACCAAAATGATCTGTTAAAGAATGATAACACCATTTCTTGCAGTGTTGTAAAAAAAAGGATTTAAATTTCGAAATTTTTTGCTAATTCAGAATTATTACACTAAATTTTGAAAAACAAAATATATTATTGCTTACTGTTTGGTGTTTACCTAAATTATTGTTTTTTATTATTATTCATGAGATATTTTATCTCTTTTGTTTTTATTTTTTTAAATGTTTTGTCTTTTTATTTTGAAGAAATGCAATAATACTGCATTATATTAATTATAAATAATCAAAATATATATTAATGTAACTAAATTTCAGAGCTTGTTTTATAAATAAATCTGTATTTAAAATAAATATGATATGTGAAATGCTTCACAAAATGAATGGTTCCAATATTTTGCACTATTTACTTCATAATTTTTACTAGAAATAAATTCTATTGTGATTCAAATGCTGTTAATACATGAAACGTTATGCATGAAAAATGCTATTACTTTGGTATTAATAATGTATAAAAAAATGAATTCAAGCCTGTCTATGTTTAATATTATCCTTATATTTGTATTGATAATTAATGATAGAAATTCTTTAAATAATTATGATTAAAAAAAAAGATGTAAAAATAGGAAAATTACCTTGCTTTTTAGATAGAATTTAAGTTTTGCTGCGCTGCTTATAAAAAAAAAATAATGCTTATTTCATTGTGAAAATAATTTATTTCATTTAAAAGGAATTCAGATATTATTTTCATAAAATTTCATTTTTGTCACAATTGTAATAAAAGGTAAGAATATTCTTACCTGCAACAGACCAACATATGGATATACAATTACATTTTTTAGTAAACTATACAACAGATATTGTGTCACTTATTGTGCTGGTTACTTATCCAATAACCATCTGTAGTAGTTCGAGAAAAATTTTCACATGGAAATCTTAATTCCAACCAGCATCGGTTTAATATCTTTTTTTAAAAAATAAAATTTAAAAAAAAAACGAAATCAAAATACCAAGAATGATAACATTGAGTGTATTAAAAGACTTGGTTTGATTGAAAAGATGTTGCTGAAGAATAGGTACCACTAACAAAAACTAGCTAAAGATTAGCTGATGCATCTTAACTTATAATAATTTTACGTATGTTGTTTGTAAATTTTAATTAGTTTAATCTTTGCCAATGGAATTAAAATGATAAATTATGGCATAATTGTGATATGCAGATTGATAGAAAATTATCGTCTTTCCAACTATGACTTGTACTAGGATAGCAATAAATAAGATAGCAAAGTTCTGTTGCTCTCACCAGTAGCCATCTTACAAGTTCAGCTGTGAGTTATGTCTTCACTGAATTGTGAAAACATAGGTTTTGTCTCTATAATGGGAAAAAAATTTCAGTCCTTACTAACAAAGTGTGTGAAGAAAATAAAAACTCAATACAATAAATAATGATATTACCTTTAATTCTGCATATTGATAGTGATGTTATTTTTTTAAAGCAGGGTTCATTGCTTTAAATAAATTTTTTGAAAGAAATCCTCAATTTAAGAATTTACAAAATATATATATGAAAAGCATTTTAATATATATTTTTGTTGAGTTTTAAAATCTCTTATTAGCAGGTTGTTTTATTATTTGATGTTTAACCATATGAAGATAAACATGGATGGTGCTAAGGGTTAAAATTTGTAAAAAGGCTTCAAAATTTCTGCTTCTTATTTATTAGATTTCTAAGCTTATGAAGCTCATCATCCTATATTGCTGTTGTACTTTTACTGTTTGCAGTATGACTTGTGCTATTTACCATTCAATTTTTAAATCAACTTAACTTTAACTGAAAGCATGAAAAACTGAAGGTAACACTCATGTCAACTGTTCCTCTTTATGCTGTGATATTATTTCCTTAAATTAACTTAATGTCGTAACCTTTTAGTGTTTATAAAATGCATAAAAGCATTATGAATGGTAAATTTTAAGTTAGTCTCAATTCTGAAACTTATCTATGAAGCCTGTTTACACGGTGGCGTATTGGAAACGTCGCATGAGCAAATCCAAAAAAATCTTAAAAATGGATGAAACTAAATATGAACAATACAGTTTATTAGCAATAAGTATTTTAAGAATAGCTTACATTTACAAAAAATAAAATTTAATATAGTACCTGAAAATTTAAAAGTTTTTAACAACTTCTTTTTTTTTTAAAAAAAGGTTCAGTTTCATACAGAATTTTAAAAGTCTATATATAGTTCTATTTAAGGAGTTAGTTTGTGTATTCATACATAACAATATTTGATTATTAAGATTTCTATAATTGTAAATTCAATAATTAATTTATGTATTCAATTTTTTATTATTCAATTTTTCTATTTGTCTTATGATAAATTTTAATATTCCTTTTTCTTTAATTTTCCAGTTTCTATTAGTGTACCTATCTATTTAGTATGTAATTTGTAAATTTAATAGTGTTTGTAATAAAATTTGATTATGTTATTTTAACAGTTCTTTACATAATGATAAAACTAAATTTTTCTTCATTCATTAATTTGTTAAGAACTTTTTTTTCAATTATTTTTTTTATTTACAAATGATATATTAAATAGTTTGTATTTAAATAATTTGTAATTAAGTTAGATTGCCGTTATAATCTGGTTTAATATTTAATTTTGAAAAAGAGTTTCTTTAATTCTTTCTACTTGGGTTAGGAAAAATCTATTTCTACCGTGTTTTTTTCCACTGTGGACGAAACTTGCAACTCGGTGAGTAAAGAATTACAGCAATAGTGAAATGATATTTTAAAAAGCTTAGAATTGTCTTGATATTTTAGATTTCAAATGAGAAATAAAGTGACAATTTTAATGCTGTTATTTTTATTACATATCTTAAAAAGTTGTTATTGAATATGTTTTTTTCCTAAAGAGAAACATGATGGTAATGAAAAACCTACTGATCATTTGCCTTAAAACCAATATTTTGTTTCAATATTGTAAATATATTTATGAATCTCAGACTACTAAATACCATATTTATATATACCATATTAGAATTTCATTATATACCATGTTAGAAAATTAATCTAACATGGCATGCTCTTTAAAAATGTACTCAGATTTCCCTTTCTTACAGCATTTTTTTTTCAATGATTCATAATTAAAGTTATTCTATATGTAAAAAAAAATTTTTTTTGCTGACCTGCAGTTGAGAGGTTATAAGGCAATGCAATTTATTTGTCAATTTCAAAGTTTTTTTTTAAGAAATAAACTATTTTACATTTTTATTCGACCTTCAATCTATTTGAATCTTGTATTTGCATTTAGGTAATGCCTACTACTGTTAAGCATTACTATGAAGCAATTTTTTTAATGCTATTTAATTTGATAGTAATTAATGTATAATTAAGGAGATTTCTAAAATTTAGTTCATTATAAACTAAAATTCTTAAAGTTTCTTCTTTCAGATTAAAAAAAAAAATAAATAAAATGCCATTTAAATATTAAAAAAATCTCTTTTTGAATCAAATCAAATTTTTTTTAAAATCGCAATCCCTGTTTTAAAATTATTTTTCAACTGTGCTGTTTCAAATAAAAATGAAACAAACTTTTTAAAGTAAATCCTTTTATCTGTAATCTCTGATTTGTTTCTCTTTAGTTATATAATTAAATCGTGTTTTGACTTTATTTCTTGTTTGAAAAAAGTATAACTTTTGAACATTTATTAAATGTAGCATTTCAATAAAACTATGTTTGAAAAAAATTTTTTTTATACATTTATGCTGCATTTGTGTGGAAGAAGTAAAATAGCTAAAATTTTATCAAAATGGAGTCGTATTAAACTTTGTACTATGTATAGTATGTTATATATGTATCAAATGCTTTGGGAAAAAGTGTCTTTGGGACTATTAAACAAATCTTACGGCATACAAGCAAAAAAAAAATTCTCATAGATAGATTAAATTATCACTGTTACCTCATTTGTCCTAAAAGGTACGTTATAAGGTGCTCTTGTGGGGACTAATTGCCACCACGGAATTCAAAATTCACTGAAAATTTTCGAATGAGAAAGGTAAATAATAAAGTTCTGGATTTATATATATATGTATAATAATAAAAAAAGGCATTCAGTGATGTGAACAAAAACAAGGGAACAAATGTTCAATTTTAGTAGATTAGCAGTATTATGAGCTATGTTTATAGTTTTCTTCTATACCCTACTAATATTTTCTACACATTTTTCTTAAGTGAAGGTTTATTACAAATCTTTGACCCGATTTTAAATATTTATATTTTCAAAACTGTTAAACATATTTCATGAAATATATTATTTTTTTATTCAAANGCTATGTTTATAGTTTTCTTCTATACCCTACTAATATTTTCTACTAATTTTTCTTAAGTGAAGGTTTATTACAAATCTTTGCCAGATTTTAAATATTTATATTTTCAAAACTATTAAACATATTTCATGAAATATATTATTTTTTTATTCAAATACAAAGATTTCATCTGTCTCTTACTGGGCAAACTTCTGATTGAATTCATTCCTCATATTTCATTCATAACGTGTCGTTAATATAACCTAATAAAATGATTTCAAATGGCATAAGGTCTGGAGATCTTTGTGGCCATGTAATTAAGGGTAAATCCCCTGTCCAATGCTGTAAACATTGGAAGAACTTCATTTGTGCAATGCTATTAGAACTGTGAGAATTTAGAAAATGTGTGGAGCAAACTTGATTGCAGAATTAGATATCTGCTGTGTAATGAAATGGCCATATATTGAGTTGAATGTTTAAAAAAAAAACTTATATTTCTTTAAAAAATTTGTGCATCAATTATTGTAATATGTGTAGCAGTTTCAAACATGTAAAATCTGCTCATTCATTTCTGAAAACCTTGCAGTGTTGATTTTTTTTAAATGTCTGAAGTTTTCTGTTGAAATATTCTTAAAAAATTTAATTTACTATCACTTAAATGTGTCCTTTCTTGTGATAGAGACATTCACTAATTGTGAAATAAAAAGAGCTTTTTAATGGAAGTTGTGTTGTTGCTTTTCACCTAGATTTAAGCCCCTAAACAAAATCAAAAAGGTCATTTCGCACCAACAATGTATATTGTTGACGTGACATGATATACTGAACAATATAATGTGACAATATATTGAAATGTAATGAGATGTCCTGTATTAAGTACTCCATCATTAAAAGAATTTCTTTAAATAAAGGTTTCTTTTATACATACAGCACAATACTGTATAATGGAGTGTTTTCATTTAACAGGTTCTTCCATTTTAAGCTCTTCAGTTGATGTGTTTGATATTATTGATGCTGGCATATTTTATGTAAGTCTACTTACAAAATGTTAACTTGTTTAAACAAAATATTTCAAGTCTGTGAATCAAAATCTTTAATATACGTATTTTGTAATTCTATACTTAGAATATTTTTATAAAATATTTTGCTGCCCTTTCTAAATGTGATTAAAAATTGGAATAGCATGTTATTCTTTAAGTCATAACTGTATTAAGTTGTTGTAATACTTTAATTAATTGCTTCGTTAACTGCCTCTGCTCTTATGTTTCGATGAATTTCAGAGTGGAAAAAATTTATTGATATAAATAAATATTTATAAATATGTGATAATTATAAATTATTGTATTATACTATAAATGCGATGTAATGAAACTGAATTTGCATTTTGGTTCTTTTACTTGTTCTTGTAATTTATGGTGGGGAAAAAAAGAAGTATGAAAATATTACCTGTAAGGTATTGATCAAACATTTCAGAGTGACTAGCTTATTGTAGATTTATCATAAAATTTTCTGCTTATTGACACAGCTACTTCTTCAAAAGTTTTACAGCCAGGCAAGGCCCTCCCAATCAGTTGAAACTATTTCAGCCTACCCAGCACACCTTTTTTAATCCTTTCAGTCCCAAAAATTCATTTTTCAATGAAAAAAAGCTTATAAAACAGACTCCTTTTGCATTCTAAATATAACAGAGCAGATTTTTTTTTTTTTAAATAAAATTTCAAATTATTCCAGATGGCATCATAGGGAACAAAGTACTAAACATTNCCTGTAAGGTATTGATCAAACATTTCAGAGTGACTAGCTTATTGTAGATTTGTCATAAAATTTTCTGCTTATTGACACAACTACTTCTTCAAAAGTTTTACAGCCAGGCAAGGCCCTCCCAATCAGTTGAAACTATTTCAGCCTACCCAGCACACCTTTTTTATCCTTTCAGTCCCAAAAACTCATTTTTCAATGAAAAAAAAATTTTTTTAAAGCTTATAAAACAGACTCTTTTTGCATTCTAAATATAACAGAGCAGAAATTTTTTTTTAAAATAAAATTTCAAATTATTCCAGATGGCATCATTGGGAACAAAGTACTAAACATTACTCATACTTTTTAGAATCATCGCGAGTGAATTAAAAAAAAATTGAAAACATTATGCATTATTTAATGATTAAGTAATTTATAACTATGGGAAGAAATTGAACCAATTTTTAACATTATAAATGTGGAAGTATTCATTGCTATAACACTGTAACAACAATTGCTTTTTCTTTCTTTTTTTTAAAATTTTACATGAAATGTTCTGAGACAGTTTTTAGTCTTATGGGGCAGAGATGGATTTTTCACACATTACAATCAGACTTAATACATAATTTGAAATTTTTTTTTTCTTTGATGTGAAGATACCATTGAGCAACTTTTGTAAGAATAAGAAATAATAATACCTAAGGACAAAGAGTAACTGAATAAAATAGAGTAAACAAGACAGGTGATGTTTTGTACCCACTGAGTCTATTTGGAATCCTAACTTTTCTAAGAATGAAAACTCAAATATTTTCAAAAGAAAATGATTACGTACTGTTTAAGTACCATTTATGAATATTCGAACAAATAAATATAAAATTTTTAAAAACATCGTTTAATCTCTAATGGAAAAAAAAAAAAAAACGCAAACAAGCATCACCAACAGATGCAGTGCAATCACCAATCGGCAAAAAGAAAGTATACTTTCTTTAGGAAATGTTAGTAGATAAAAATGTTGTCCATTTGGACAACATTTATTGATTTGGGTAAAAAAATGATTTAGGTAAAAAAAAAAAAATTAATGTTACGATTCCAGTTGGCATCACTGGGACTGAAAGGGTTAATTTTGTCAATCTACCACGCACTTTTTCTCACTTTTAAAGTGCAAGTCAGTAAAAAAAAACAAATTGGTGGTAGGTAACAGTATTTGGTTTTAAAATTTGTTATTTCTTATCACGCTATGCAGTGTTTATGAAGTTTCTTAAAAAAAGTTCATAAAACAATTTAAGAATCAAAAAGGAAAATTAAGCACTTATTTTTAGTTTTTCCTACAAACACTTCTGTTTCTTAGAGTTTCTCAAAAAACGTAGTAAGCATGTTTGAAGGTTCCCCCTCCCTTCTTCATTTGAGTGCAATATAGGTGACTCTGTTTTTGTGTTAAAATACTTACCTGTTTATTAACACTAATATGAATATTACATTATTTGTGCCATTTGTTTTATGAGTGCAAATTATTTTACCCTAACCAAAGTGCAGATAATTGCTACTAATTATTTATTAAAACATATTTTCTTTTTTTTTTTTTTTAAAAAAAAAGGAATTTTTGTTTTATTTTATGTAAACGCAATCTTTCTTTTCTTTTATGTGTGTGATGTTGCATGGATTTTAAAGTTATTTTGATTTAAAGTGTGTGTGTATATACATATAAAAACACACACACTTTAAATCAAAATAACTGTTAATCAAAATTAGCTTTTATTATGAATCAAAATATTCTTTTTATTACTTCAGATATTATTTTGAAACCTCACATTTTTATATATAAAACTTTAAAATTATGTATTATTTTGTATTTTAAATGCTGTTTTTTATTTAGTTTTCGATTCAGTATTTTAATGAATTTTCACTGTGATAATTTTAATGTATAAAAAACAAATGCTTGTTTAATGTTTTTCTCTGAAAGCAAAGCCTAAAATATAAAAAAAATATCTAAAGTATAGCCGAAATGAAACCTGCTTAATCTTCGCCTAATGAAACTAAGCTGATTCATAACTTCGTGAGTACATAACTTCGCAAACAATAACTTTTCTAAAGTAACATTGAGCGCTTTTTTATTCTATTTAAATAAAAATAATATAAGATACGAATAATATTTAATTTAATGACATCACTTTTAGTAAAATTAGGAATTAAAAGCGTTATAACATTTCCTTTTCTAAATTAACATTGAACGTTTTTTATTCTAATTTTTATATAAAAATAATAAAATATAAATAATTTTCATTTTAATATTTTTACTTTTACTAAAATTGAATTAATTATGAATTTAAAGCTTTAAAACATTAACTTTTCTAAAGTAACACTGAACGTTTTTCATTCTATTTATTAAATTAAAATATTAAAAAATATTTTTATAACAATGCATAAATTAATATTGTTAGTTTAATATTTTGATCTCGCGAAATTTTTTCCTCGGAAAGTTTCAACAACGAAGTTTTGACCCATTACCCACCAAATCCTAAGATAGTCTATGCAAATTTTAATATATATATATATATATAATGTACATATATATATATGGGTTTATATATATATATATAAACCCAACCGGAATATCTGCTCTTGCACCCCAGAGCCCAAGGTCAAAAAACTGAGATGAGCACAGTATGCCTTAGCCCTCTATGGGCTGTCGCGCCACTGAGTTCAGTTTAGTAACGAAGTAAAAAAAAATTAAGTTCAAATTTGTTCCCAATAGAATTTAGAACTAAGTATATGTGTTAATACAATAGCATCATTTTGGGATCCTTAATGTGTTTTTTTTTATGTAACAAAATGTTAATTGTTAAAAAATAAAATTAATTTATGTAGAAATTTTGGTCAGTGAATCGGACAGTCTTAAAATTGCATTCTTCGTGATGATGGTTTCTGTATCAACACACAGTCCTCTAACCGCTTTTTATCCTCAAACGATATATTTAAACTAAATTCGAAACATGTCATATCTTAGAAAGGAATTTGAACACAAAAAATAAGTGTAACAATGGAATTCTAGATACTAATTATGGATAATCAGTTAAAACATTTTAATTCCTTTTGTATTTGCTGTTACTTCGAACATAACTAATATCTTTTTAAAGTGTTTCTGTAAACATTTTTACTTTTCGTTTATGGAATTTTCTACCTAAATTAATCTGTGACTAAATATCTACGATGTAGAAATTTTTTTAAAGTGGAGTTTATACCTGTAAAAGCTAGTCTTCCACTTCCGTGTACGTATTTCTATTTAATATATAATAAGCAAATATTCCTTTAGAAAAAAAAAAGAAATCGCAATTTTGAATACGAAAAGAAATTTCTAACGTACCTTTATTGAATATTTACAGAAATTCGTATTTGTACTTAATAGATACTTTCTATAGATTTTATATTCGTAATGTAGTTAACATATGAAATATTATATCTGTACAATCTGTTGGAATTTCTGTAAAGTTGTGCGTAGTTTTTGTTGATGTATGAATGTTTTGTTTCTTAAAGAAATAGTATTATGTTTTTAAAAGTTGTATAATTTTTAAAAATGTATACATACAGGGTGATTATAAAATAGATTTGCCAATATATGACCATCTGGAGAGCATACCGTATGAACGAGGGCGACACGAGAATATATTTTTGGGAGGGGGTAATAAGTAGGGTTGCGTAGCGTTGTTAAAAAGTGCTTATTTTTGATTTACGTATTTTGAAGAAGAAAAAAGTGTTTTTTTTAATGGGGGGTTTGTAAAAAGTGCTTAATTTTCTATCTTTCAAAATGAGATTTTTTCTTCGCCGTGTCGATTGTCGTCATAATATACAAAAACAAAAAAAAAGCATGATTTTCACAATTTTCTCTGCAATATTTATCAGAAACTGGTTATTTTAGCATGATTATGTAAAATCATTGAGAATGTTTTTGCAATTTGTTGATTTTATGTTTATAAATTAAGAACTTTAAACGCTGGATTGTGCCTAATTGTGCTTTTTTTTTTTTGGAAAATGATTTAAAATATTTTTGAGTGCTTAAAAAGTGCTCATTTTTTGTTGAAAAATCTAGCTACTTACCCTAAAATCCTAAATTGACCGAATCATAAATAAGTATGTAATTCAATTGCTTCAAAATTTCACTCAAACTGTATGCTTTCCAGAATGTCGGCTGTATGAACCAGCCTGTATTGTGTTTAGAAATTTATAAAGTTTCGTTACTATTTTGTTGTAATGCTGCTGTATATCTGTGTCGATTGTTTCTTTTTTTTTTTTCTTTCCATTTTCTTTTTGAATCGAAGAAACGAAATATATTTCATTAATAAATATTATTATAGAAATTTTGAATCGAATCTTCATTTTTATTTTTGTAATCTCAAAAAGCCCTAGGAAGTCACTTTTTAAATATAGTTGAATACCATTTTAACGATAATTCATAATAGCAGACGATCGAGATGGTCGTTATAAGCAAATTTTTATATTTAATGTTAAAATAGAAATAAAAAGGCTAAAAAAACGAAATATCTTTATCTTGAAGATATTTTTTATTTTGATTTAAAAATACATATCTAGAGTAGGCTACAGATTGATTTGCTTTATGAAAGGCAGAAATGCATACGACAGGAACGTTTGAGCAACAAGATTCCAAATCAAGTTCTTGAAAGAAGAAAATGAAATGCAACACCTTTTGACATCATTAATAACCATGATAGGTATAATGAGCATTCTTTTGGGAGAAAGCTTCTTTGAGAGAAAACGTAGCTGATGGTTGCCCACACATTGCTTTATAAAATTGAAGAGAAGAATGAACCGTTCGTTTTTGATAAATAAAAATGTCTTCCGTTCAAACATTTTTCATATAATATAGTTCACTTAGAAAGCATTAAAAAAATAAATTTCTCAAAAACATTTTTTGTCGGAAGGCTAGTAATTTTTAACTTGTTACAAACATAGATTTTTTTAAAAAAATATTATCATTTTGAGAGGGACTTGGAAGTTTATCGTAATATCAAATTTCGCGTAGTTTGCCAAGACATAACCCAAGTCTAATATTCTCCTTTCGTTAAAATTTTTTTTTAATCAGGGATTTTTTATTTTCTTTTATAACCGTCGTTGAACAGCCGACCCAATTTTATGGGTTTGCGACTACTAATGTTCAACTCCATAGCCTTGTAATTTTTAACCCGTTCCTAAAGACAAGGGAACTCCTGGATCAAGTACTGGGAGAAATTTGCCTTCGCGGAGGACTTTTTGATGGAACTAACCCGCATTTGCGTTACATGGAGAAAAAAATCTCCCACAATTAGCCTGACGACAAGGGGGCTCTAACCCATAATCCTTCTACCACTGAGAATATTTTACGTCAGCTATGTGGTCGGTACGAGCCGGGAGCGGAATTCTTATTTACAAGCCATAACTGAGATTCGAACCCGGTTCACCTCATTGGAGGGCGAACGTTTTATCCCCAGAGCCACCACAACTCAGTCAGGGGGTTGATGTTAATATTCATATAAAGCGCCGTGATAACCTGGTCTGTTGGGCTCGTGTTCGAGAATACAGGAGTTTGACTCCAGCCGGCTGAAGAATCCCCGTGTATTAAAATGTGACTGGTGTATGTTAAATCTGTCGGGGACACAAAAATTTTTCCAAGTTCCGTAACATATCAATACCTCTGGGGGGTCCAGGAGTTTCCTTGTCCTCTGGATGAGGTTTGAAATTACAACTCTACGGAGTTGAACATTGGTAGCCGCAAACTCAAATTTGGGTCTGCTGTTCAACGACGGTTATAAAATAAAATATTTATGTAACATTCGAAAAAGATGGCGCATTCTTCTCTTGAAATGAATCTTAAGATGAGATATTTTTTATTCAATTTATTGATTCAAAGGTTTAAAAGATATTATTGAAATGCATCAAGAATAGTCTAAATGTGAATGTTGTCTTAATTTAAGCACGAGTTTTGCAAGGAAGTTAGTGGCCGATGAAGTGAATTAAGCGATGACTAGTCGACGAATTCCTCGCAGTGCTGACGTAAAATATCCTCAGGATTATATGTTAGAGTCCCCTAGCCGTGTGAGATCTTTGCGGTTCTCTCTTCGCCATGCAACGCAAATGCGGGTTAGTTCCATCAAAAGTCCTCCACCACGAAGGTAAAATTTTCTTCCAATATTTGATCCAGGAGTTCCAATGTCTTCTAGATTTGGTTAAAAATTACAAAGCTACGAAGTTGATTGTTGTAGTTCATGTACGTCGCACTAGAGCTGCACAATGGGCTGTTGGCGACGGTCTGGGAAACATCCCTAAGGATGATCCGAAGAAATGCCACATCAATTTTGATCCTCTCCAGAGAGGATGGCGCCCCCCGCTTCGGTAGCCCGACGACCTGCACGCGAAGTCGAGCACTTTACGGTAGAACAGCTTAACGAGGACCCAAACCGCACACCCTCGGTCCCTACCCTAATCCAAGTGGTCACCCACCCGCACACTGACCGCAGCCAGTGATCTTGACTTCGGTGATCTGCTGGGAACCGTGTCTTAACGATCAGTCCACTGCGGGAAGCTACGAAG